TTTCGTGCGCTGCTGTGTTGTTGAATTTCAATATAAGCTATATTTTTTAACTATTTTTTTAAAATCTGACTGTTAACCTAATACAGAGAAGATTCAAAATAGAAACTAATNTTTTTTAAAATCTGACTGTTAACCTAATACAGAGAAGATTCAAAATAGAAACTAATACACAAACATTTTACTTTTTCAAATTAAGTTTTAATTATGTTCCGGAAATACTGCGCCTTTTAGAAATATGTTAAATTAAAGCTTATGATATGTACTATAAATTAAAATAGTATATATGACCTATCTTCTTTTTATAAATGCCGTAATTAAAAAACTTGTTTTTTTTTGTTAAAATTTTTAATTTTCGATTTTATATTTTCAACATTAAATTGATATAACTTTTTGAAAAATTAATAATAAATTAAAAATAAATGTATATAATGTTTTTTGTTATAAATACATTATTTAACTCCCTTTCTTTCACATACTTTTATTTAAATCGGACCATTTCCTTTTATACGGGAAGGTTTAAATCTTGAAATATTCTAGTAAAATATGTCAAATTAAAGTTTATGTTTGGTACTATAAATTAAAAAAATAAATAGTCCCGGCGACTTATCTGAGATAACCAAGTCATGTGATTCATGAAGGAGTCAGATCGGCTATAACATCAAGTAGTACCCAAACACCAGGGAGAGTATTTTCATTGTATCCCTTAGCTCATAAAGCTACAATTGCATTAATATATATACATTAATCATTTAAAGGTTATATACTTCATTTTAGGTTAAGTATTATTATTGGTCCTTATGATCCTTTCATAAGCTATTGACGCCAACCATTAATTTAGGAGTGTCCTGGCGCAACAATTATTATAATTCAATAAATAATACGAGCATTTATGTTGATCACATAAATCTAGTTTAGTAGAATATTTAAATATCATCAAGGTGTCAATATTGGAGAAGATTTGTTATATATCAAGGATGGAAGTATTCACCCACGCCGTTGGGTGTATACCGCCCTGACAGAGTAGATCCTCCGCTCTGTCTAGAAACTCCCGTGGGTCCTCTTCGTTTCTCCCGTAATATTCAGGTAAGCAGGCGCGTACGGTAGGCGACAAATCATTAAAGGACCGACGACCGTGGATTGTGCTGAATTGCCCCTCCCGTGGTTGGCGCCTAAACGAAAAATCGGTCGGCTCGTTCTCATATGTATGAGTGCGCTGATAATGTTCGTCTTGGTAATCCACCAATTGGAAGTAGCGACGCTTGTACGTACGACCGTTTCATGTTGCGGGCTTGTTTTGCTTCGATGTCCGCGACGCGCTCGTGTAGTGTTGCGTCGGGTCCGTCGCTCCCGATGGGCCGAATGTAACGCGATGCGCTTCCGATCGTCGACTATCATTTCGGTCAACGTGTAATATAAATAAAAATAGGGGGGGGAGGCGATAAGATAGAGATAGTAGGAAAGGGATTATAAGTTATTTGAATTGTATTAGATTCATTCATATCATCTTAATCCTACCACTTACCCACTCTGTCCTATTTCTTAATATTACATGAATATAGTGCATGTCTTAAGACTACACTTACCTTGATGTCTAAATGGATTCGTAGATAGATGGTGAATTGTGATGTTCCTTGTTGATGTCGATATTTTAAGTTAATTTAAATAAATAAAAATACAGATATGAGGGGCAACATACTGAGTTTATTTCTATAACTTGTATTAATTATTTTGACAAATATATATAA